AATTTGTCTAGTTTTCATACTGGGCTTTCCGACTGATAGTTAAAATAAGCCATGATTTTAAAACATAAATATTACGTATGAATTAATTTATTCAAGTAAAGGGTTAAGGGGGGTTAAAGGGGTTAGCGGAATTCGAGAGAGAACTAAAAAATTAACGTCATCAGGTCGAGCAGTAATGGAAACTAAGACCAGCTCCTGAAAAAAACAGACAAACCTTCGCGTCGAATAGTACAGATCTTCGAATGGATCGGCAAGTTTTTCACCTTCTGTAATTAGAAAAAAACCATTTTCGATAGATCAATCCAACTGTTGTTATCTGCCATAAATTTTTTCCAAGCTCATCTTTTTTATGTATTTTCTACGACCTGAAAAACATTGCAAATTGGAATGGCGGGGTACTTGTTTAAGTACAGGTGCTTTATTGAATATTTTAACATGTTCGGGGGGAGGGGGTATTCCGTCATAGGTGCATGATTGCTCAGTGTCGATTTTTTAATTGGAGGAATCAAGTACAAAACCTAATCTACTTCCGTTCATTTTCACTTTGACGCTCCATCGAACAACTATAGGCGTTCCACTACACAAGATAACTCTGTTCCAAAACTTAGACCAAACAGGCCTCCAGTGTATAACACTTTTGATAAGGTAAAATGCTTATGGCCCTACAGACAATAGCTCCAGATGATGTATCCCAAAGACAACAATAACGATATGAAAGGTTGCTTGCTTTTAAAGATACTTGATTTAACAATTACCTTCTTGCAGTCTCTGGGCAAACTTTTTTTCTCGAGCAGGCCCGTTATCCAATACAATCTGTGGTGGAAAAGGCACTTGTCACACAGCATGAATAACTATGTTGCCATTCAGAAAATTATTGCTATAAGGCCCCACCAATTTATTCCAATGATTCCTTTGAACGGACAACTAGGAGGAGGAGTTTTACTCAACGTGGCATTTTAATACCTTCCCGTTCTTATTTTTAACGGAAGTTTAACGGAACTTAAGTATAACGGAAAATCAGACCTATCAGCCATCTCTCAGCTGTTTGCAAATACTTGTTTCCAATTTTACCTTCTTTTGTTAATCAACTGTTCTTTTGCATCGGATCACATGTTGAAAATAAACATATCTTACAAATAAACATGAAAAGAAATCTTACCGTGTACTCCGGTCCCACTGCCCGGATCGCATGACCTGTCAATGTTGCTATTGTCATGAGATGAGGGTTTATTTCTCCCAAAGCCTGTAAATGCAATGCATTAACTCTAATTGTTCCTTCAATAAATCCTTAAGGTATTACAATACTTTAAATACACCATACTTACTTGCTTCATTCAAACAAAACGTTTTGTCACTGCAGGGCCTCTGGGGGGCCATGCCCCCCTCCTACATTTTTTCAAAGCAATAGAGTTTTTTCAATAACTTTTGTTATATTTGTGTTTAATTCTCCCTCCCTCCCCCCCCCTTTCAACCTGTTTCGCAGCCCATGCATGCACTGACACTATACATGCCAAATGCTTTATTTTGTAGAAACACAAAACAAACACAAGATAACATGAAACAAAACACCTAAACAGTCACAAGAAGCTCTTCTTTCCATTCATTCACAATGCTTGCACAGTATTTGGAATACCTAACCAGTTTCAGTCAGTTTAGATCTTTTTTTAATTCACGTCTAAAGAAATAGCTAAGTTGGCTCCAATGTTAAACTTGCATCTCAGCCACCCTTGTTTCAAAAGTTGAATTCAAATAGTATACTTCCATATAGAATAAACCAAAATGTTTGAAAAGGGAATGGTGAAAGCTGTTAAAGTGAACAAAACACTGTTGATGTTACCAAACTTCTGGCGGGCATTGTACCTCAATTAAAATAGGCGCCTAATAGTCCAAAATAATTACTTCAAATTTATTACTTTAAAATTACTTTAAAAGAAATATTTTCAAGCATCCGAATTATGGCTATTTCATTTTTTTCTCAGCTAAGAGCTCTGTTTCCTAATGACGGTTTCTTAAAAAAATGAGTGTCACGATATTCGGTAACAAAAAGATATTTTGTTTGTAAGCTCGTCTTTTCATCAGCGATGCAAAATGGCCTAATCATAAATATCGGAATGGAGAACTCAAAAACTATTTAAAATGGATTCAATATCAACATTGATGAAAGCAAAAGTAACACCTCAAGGACCTGAGAAGATGTTTTTCTTAGCCTTAAAGTTAATCTGATTTGGTAACCACATGGGCAATGGCTTCTTCTAAAAACATAGCTGGTACTAAAATAAATGCTTTTAATCGTCCGTTGCGCCGAATAGGCTTTTCTGAAAATGTTGTTTTGAGATTGCCCATGTCAAATTAAAAGGATTCTGCTACTTAACAGAAATAACAGGCTCGATTTTGGTAAGGTACAGTTCGGTTTAAGGGCTAGATAACACCCAAGGAGAGATGTGCCTTAACGCTCTTTTAGGTATACCTAAATCATTCTAATCCGGATGGATGACATCGCTTTTTCAGATCATGTGCCTGACATTTGGACCTGGCTTTAGAAGCAGTTATTTCACACGGAAACCAGGAAATTAATTTTGTTGTCAATAAAATTGTCCTGTCAAAAGGCTTTTGCTACGCAAAGAGAATACAAGGGACCAGGATGCAGAAAAAGATACAGGGAAAGCACAGGTGGTAAAGAAGGACAATTTTATTGACAACAAAATTAATTTCCTGGTTTCCCTGTGGTTATTTACGATGTAGCTGTACAAGTGCTGACATTATAAGCAAAGAATAAATCAAAGCATGGTCTTAAATACGGCATTTATTCGTACCTGCATGGCAGTATAGTGGAGAGGATCAGCCATAGCCATCCGTCCTTCTGCATCGGTATTTCCAACCCTGACACGAACACCGGCCGCAGAAGTAATGATTTCATCTGCTACATAGCTATCTGAAAATGAAACAAAAGAAAAATAAGGGAGTGCTGAATATGAGGGTCAGTGCCTAGCGACTAAAAGACTCTATCATGCTTAGCTTGTTCAAGAACGCAACAAAATTGCTAAAAGACATCTATCTTCATTATTCCTAGCCCTTAAGAGAAAAGGGTGGTGCTTCTAGGAATTATTAGTACTATCGTTTTTTGCTAAGGAAAGTTTATATAAGATAAGGTCTCCGCAGGGAAGCGTGTTGAATCTGATTATGAACTTTCAGTGGTGAAAAGTCTGCTTGCAAAACCGACAGACGATGACACATCACGTTTACTCACCTGCTCCTACACTGTTTCTAACCATGGCAAGTCGGCCAACAACTTTGATGCCAGATGGTTTTAAGGCATCTACAGTCTTAAAAACAGAAGAAATGTTTGATGATGAGGACTACAACTAAATAAAAACATGAAAGTCCATATTGATTACGTCATACACAACAATGCTAAAACACCAAGGGTGCATGTTTCCAACTAAAAAAATTCTTGTGAATTAGCAAAGCTACTAAATTTTGTTCTATGTTATCCGAGTTATCTTAATAATTGCCCCATACACATAGATACGCAAAATTTGTTGCTTTGTCGATCAAAAAATACATAGAGAATGTGAAAGAAGGAAAATTGGCTCTATCAATCAACTTAAAAGCACAAAATTAAAAGGCAAAGTGCCTATGAAGCAAAGAAACCCAATAACGTTGTATCTTTTAAGTCGGTAACTCAGTGGTGTCCATCTACGGCATTATTTCAGATTTGGTATTCGATATCAGATGTTTCAGCCCTAAATTTTCCATGCAATCAAAATGTATCTCCTTGACCCTTCAGTTATCGAACAACCCTAGCTTTTCATGGTACTCTGAATTACATCCTATATTCGTCAAAACAATTTCAGGGATAGATACCTAATACAATGCATTCAGACGAACACAATTAATGGCATTGCATAGAAACCCTTACAAATGGCTGTAATATTACAAAGCAGTACCTTGAAGAATCCAGCTACAGTTGCAGCTCCACATTTGTCTCTAGAAAAAAGTAATGTTCCCATTCAATAAGAAAAATTGCTTTATCAGTACAGGCACTTACCCATCCCATTACTAAAATATATCTTTAAGCACCAAGAACCGTGTGTTGCCTTCATGTTATTTTCAAAAAGATTAGTTCTTATTTTTGAAGACAACTCTTTGAGAAAAACTTAAACATATTCAAGGACAGAGCTTAAACAACTATTCCATGGAACGTGGCTTGCGGGGTACCATTGCGAGGCATGTATAGGAAGCCAAAGGAATGGATGACAAAAAGTCGACCTAAAGTACTGATATTGGACCCATTATTGTTACATAACCGTCCAAAATGTAACGATTTCCAAAGTTAACAGATAGGTTTGAATGGGCTGTTTAGATTCTTTTCCCATCGGCCTTTGCACGACTGCCTTTCTTGTATACACTCTTTTTTCATAAGAACCAGTAAATTTACGTTCAGGCTGACTGTTCTTAATTTTTTCGAAAATCTGAGGCTGGATTGTTCTTAATTTGTTCTTAATCTAATAGGGTGTGAGTAGTGTGAGTGCTAGCCTTTTCGCTTTAGGGTGGCGTTCAGTTCTCAATTGCCAACAATGTTCTTAACTTTTGACCAGTTTTGAGGCTCGTGTTCTTATAAAATTGTTAATGGCTTTGAAAAAAGCAAACATTTAGTAAACTAAAGCTTTTCGTCTGACACTCTTCAGAGTTTAAAACGTCAGAACATAGACCGGAAACTCTACGCTAGGAAATATATATACCCAGTTGTGGATCGAGATAGGCCAATCAGAAACACGAGCACATGACTGTTGAGGTTGACCAATCAGTGCCGCTTGCCTATTGAGAATGTTACCAATAGATTCCAAAATTGTTCTACCAGATTAGGGTCGCCTTGATGTATGTCAAGACTGAGCTTGTTCTAGGTAGCAATGCTTCGAAAACAACTTCAACTCTTACCTATGCATACCAGCCATATGTCCACCAGCTTTCACATCTGCACCACCAGTGTCATACGTAATTCCCTAGATTGATAAAATAACGTCAACGTACAATTATTGTAAACCCCTATAGAGGACGAAGAACAACGTCTTCCGAAAAATGATTATTAGAATTTCTAAATTTTGACCACATAACCTGAAAAAACAGGTATTATCTGTGGTATGCCTACCGCTACCCTGGGTACCAGAGTCTCCATTATATAGTTAGAAACTAGTCACATAATTTTTTGCCACACCCAGGGTAGCCTACCGCCTGCAGTAGTCTCCTTCCACGCGCTGAAAGACCCATTTGCTATTGATCTCTGATTTCGCCCACCAAGGTAGCTGGGGATAAGCTGCAATATTTTTTGCTAAAGCCATAAGCTTACATAAAATTTACAATATATAGCAATCAAGGCCTGGTTCTGTAATTTTTTATAAACCGAAGAAGAGCAAACTGAGTGCTTTATATCTCCCGAAGACTGCACAGCAGTGGACAGGGAAAACAGAGAGCAGGGCTTTCAGTTGTAATTCCATTCCATCATTCTCTCGTGTTTTAGATGTAGAAGACAGGGCTGTAATTGGTCGACAATTTTACTAACGAAAATATCGTCAATTCTGTAAATTGAATAGATTTCTCCAGCTTTCAAAGGTTCTAGGAAAGCATTTTGCGAGATATTAGCATTGAAATGACTTGGAAGAAATATTAAAACTAACAATAAATATACATTAAGAGGATTACCTTTCCAACAAACATGTATGTTGATTTGATTTCTCCTTCACCAACGTATTCTAATGTGATTACTCGGCCTTGGTGTCGATCAACGCCTATAGGATAAGGTTAAAAACGGGTTGATTCTTGATATCATGCCAAGGAATTCAAACCGACGAAACAACATTTCTCTGTTTACTTACGACTTGCAGCACGGTTAACTGCGCCAAGCAAAGGATACTTTTTGTTTAACTCTCCAACATCATCTTCAACTGAAATCTGAAAAAGCAAATTGAGAAACAATTTGAGATACGTCAAATCTCTGCTTTGCTTGATTGGTACATATCTAAGAGGGAGTTCGCTTAAAGACACAGTTATGCGATGGAATAAAAAATGCTATTCCTTACAGTAATATGAAAGCTAGTTTTCTAAAGAGGCTATGTCCAATGGAAAACAGACTAAAATCAGTCTAAGAGTTAAGACATAATTTTAAGGAGATATATATTTGATTGAAGAACATATTTCTACAATCCAGACAGTCTTCAGTTTATTTGAAAAGAGCTTTGGCCTTTAATACGGTGTTGCCTAAAAGTAAAAAAGCTATAGATTGTGTTAGTAACCTTGATAGTACTATCTTTAAATATTTCTTGCAGATACTCAGCAACTTTTCTTGCAGCCATGCGTTCAGGATCAGACCCTCCAATGTCACGTGCAACAATCCTGGGAACAAATAATCTGTTCTGAAGAAAAGCAATTCTAGCATTTCACTTGTGGCCACTTACTAATATAAAGGTATTATTCGAGTGATGGTACTAATTCCAGGATTTACATTTTAAACAATATCCATTGAGCACATTGAACTCAAAGAACAACATCCATTTTTGTTTCTGGGTGAAAGCAAAAATAAGATAAAGCAGTAGATCTCCAGTATTACAGATACCAAGATGAGGCAAGTGATGCCAAATGATATGTGATTTGTCACTCTTCAAACCATTAAAACATACAAAATAGCTGTGTCTGCAAACTCTGCATCATTATTAAACAGTTTTTAAAATGCTGTTTGAAGTACAAAATATGTTGAATAAATCTAACCTGCCACTCTCAAGTGCAACCACTTTTTCAATAATAGAGGTCTGGATTTTGTAGTCCTTTGTAGAAAGAAATTTGATTGCATTTGAACTTGTAAAAAAGAACTACTGCCCTAATTAGGGATATGATGCCAAATGAAATGCATCCTGCTATGAAATAGATACCATAAATCCCCAAATAAGCTTGCTGGGGTTATAAATTTAGAAAGTTTTTTATGGGGGCTCATTGGAGGGGGCTTTTATTTACGAGGTTGAGGCTTGTAAAGATCATCTAAAAGTTGCTATGCAACTAACGCATATTGTAAATTTTTCCCATTTCAAAACAGTTTTGCTTTTTTTATTTCCAATTTCACTTAATAACCCTTTCTAAAATAACAATCAAAAGTATAAATTAAAGCAAAAAAGATTTTCTTAGTCAAAAATATTGATATGTTATTTTCTTTGGTTGTCTCTGCCAATGCTTTTCATTCTCTGCTGAATGTGTTTTTATTCATGGACAAAATGATTTTGATTAAGTCTCTAGGAGGGCCAATTAAAAGGCAAGAATTGACACATTAGGATGAAGACTTATGTGTGAATTGGAGCTTATTGACGATATTAACTTAAGGGTGGGGGCTTATTCATGGGGTGCTTATATGAGGGGGCAATCTGAGGACATATGGTGATTGTACTTGGTGCAAATTTGTTTCATAGCCTTAAATGATTCGAAGGATTTGATTAAATTGCAATGCTAGATAAAATTGTTTTTGTTAAAAATGATCCTACTTTATTTATCACTTACAGATGATGAATCTCCTTTTCCTACATATAATCCAAGTGCATCTACTTTCTTTGCTCTTTTTGGGACATCTTGTCGGATTTCCAAAGGCTGGAAAAAGGTGTTTAAATTAAAAATGCATAAACCAACTGCTAGGGAAAGAATATTCTGTTAAATGGCCCAAAGAATGATGAAAAAACACCATGATCCAAATATTTGGGGCTTTAAGAGGAGAGGTTTTATAACAGTATAACTAAACATACAGTATAACTAATTATTGTACTTAGAAGCAGCGCATGTAGTGGCAATGTCCTATTTCTAACCAAAAACCTCCTTAACTGTTTCCCTTCAACATTGAAATGTCTCAAACAACCTAATGTAGAAGCAGTAATGATGGAAGGAAAGGTAGAGTGCTCGGTTTTAATTTATAAAAATTCACATCTGGTTTCTTCCAACAACAAACATGTTCTGTTTTAAGGCCAAGAAAAAATATTTATGAGCTTTTACCACATAGCAAGCTTCCAAAGCTGCCAGAAGACAAACAGTTGCATAATCATTGAATGTGAATTCTCCGGGTAGTACAAGCAAAGGTTTTCTGCACCCAGCCTTCAATGCCCTAAAATGGTGATGATTAGCATAGTATACTCTTGGGTCTGGATTAGATGAGGGTCTGGATAAAACAAATAGGGTGTAAAATTTTCCAAATCCCAATATATGGGGGGTTTCAGTATAAATGGAGTGGCTAGAAAATTTTCTCAAATTAATATGAACAAATCGAATGAACAGCAACAGTCCCTTTGAAAATGAAACAGAATGCTCAACAAGATGTTAGGTTTTTCAAACAGGGAAAACATATTTATAGCATAACAGTTTGATAAAATATCCAGTGCTTGACAATTAGTCAGTTTTCACTTTCATTTCCTTTCCTTGATGCATTTACTTTGCAGTTTCTTGATATATGAGGCTCATAAATAATAAGAAGGGCTCTGGAATAAGGATGTTTTTTCCAGACTTGAGAGTAATATTTTAGCCATATTTTGTGCATCATGTGAAAATGAATGTTAAGCAAATCTGTTATAGATGACTTCTGTATATCTGAAACAAGGAAAAGCATAGACAAAACGTTTCACCTTTTCATAGCGTTAAGTGTCACATCCAAATACTTTCTGCTATCTTCAAACTCTCTATTAAGTGGGCCAGCTTGGGAGAATATCTGCATACATATAGTATCAAATTTAGTTGCTATTGAACATGAATAAAATTTAACAGACATCTTGGAGTACTTTCCATTCAAGTGTAAAATATTTTTATATTAGACCTTATAGAAAGTAGTAAATATCAAACCTAATGTACGATGGAGGACTTTGAATCAAAATTGGAAGAAAGGTCAGATCTAATGGTGGCAAAACATGGCAAATGATGGGTTGAGAAGGTGTGTTGCCTGGAGAGAAATGATATAGCAATGATATGATGAATATTTTATGTAAGCCTAAAAGACAAAAATAGACTTGAAGAAGTTAGGTGTAGATTAAATCTAGAGAGTGTTGGAACTTATGTGCAAATTCTTTGCTGGTTGTTCTAAGACTCAGTCTACCGAGGTTATTAAAAGATTCAGTTTTTACTTAAACATATTTGGGCCCATATTGGTTAAAAAAGTTAGTTAAATGGAATTTAAATTTTAGTTGATGTGTTGACAGTGTAGCATAGGAAAGAAGCATATAAATTTGCACTTGCCACTAAATTGATCCCTTGCTCTTTGAAATAGAAGACACTTGAACCATTTTTGACACCCTGATCAATCTAGAAATTTGAATAAGCTGAAACTGAAGACAAGTTTATAACACCAAGACCTTATTAAAACACAAAGTCACATAGCATTTTTTTAACAAAAGGTGTATCATTGAAACAAGCTATGCTGCTGCTATTTTGCTGACTATGGTTTACCACTGTTTCTAAACCAGATTGTGTATTTTGCAGCTAGTGGTATATCTATCACAGAAAATGTAGAATTTAATCTCATATCTATCACAGAAAATGTAGGATTTGAACATTAAGTCTTAAAGCATCCTTTAAGTGCTTGTTTGCCACAGCTACACATTTAAAACCCTTGCCATTGTTGAGTCATGCCAATCATCTTAAAAATATCTCACTTTGCAATTAACTTTACTATGTGGCTGTTATAGTCTGATTACGTCATATAAAAAGCATTTGAAATGTGGTGTTGTATAGAAATTTGTCAGCATCTGTATGTATGATGTATGATCAAATTTAAGAGCTATTTAGAAGAATCGTTTCAATATTTGACTCAAAGAATATTTGTTGTAAAGTTTAGTAATACAGACATAAAACATAATACTGAGACATAAAATGAGCATTTTGTTAAAACCTAGAAAGAAGCAATAATAACCTTGTTTGCATCTTCAATGGCAGGTTTTATGTGTGCAAAAGAATTTTTGAAGTTTGGCCAGTCAAGGTTCTCGCAAACCAAAACGACACAATCCCATGCACCATCACCCAAATTTGAATCTGTGACAGCAGCTACATCGAAATCAAGCAGCCCCATCCTGAAAGTAGAAAACATTTTGGCATGGTGGATGTTGCTCATTCATGCAATGTTGCTCATGGTGAATGCTACTTATCTCGTAATTTATATTAATTATTGTAACTAAACAACTATACATTGATGTAACGTGTAATTAATTAACTTTATATCCTGAACATTTTTGAGTTTGCGTTTTGAAGTTTTCAACACCAAGATTTAAATGTGTACGTGGCCCTAATAACATATTCATAGAATGATTAAGTCAGAGGATTGAGATATACTAATCTAATTTTTCGTGCATTTATATTCCATATAGTTAAACTTATCAAAAGAAATAATGAGAATGTACTTAAAGAAGGATGTTATATCGAAAGGCCGTGCGAGCCATGTCTAACGAAACTCTTCAATCCCCTATCTCTTAGAGAATTAACTCTGGTAATAATATTGGACTGAAACTTCTCTTTATTAATCTCAAATAAAATTATTGACCATATATTAGGACGAAAGAAGCTAACAATATGCTATCACCATGATGAAGTTTACCTTGAATTGAACCTATCACGAGTTCTTCAGCTGGTGGAGAGAGACTAAAAGGGTGGGAGGCAGCGCTTTTTAACCTGTCAAAGGGGATTCCTATTCGGTTCCGGGGATTGGGTCCTACCCACCTAGTGCCGTAGTAAACATCATCATCATAATCAGCATCAATACAAAGTTACCACTAAAATATTTGATAGCAAAAGCGCAGAGCAATCTTACCTTTGTAACTGATTGGTGCCAGCATCAGCTAAAAGTAGAAATAAATTACAAAAATAAATTGCCTATAGAATAATTTTCTAAATGACATACAAAAAATGAACAAAAACTAGTAATCTTGCACCGAATGAACTATAAAAAGATTTTGAAAACAATAATCAATCTGCAATTCCACCACGCTGTTTTTATGGCTCACTCAGTTGGCTATGGACCAATTTTGGATGATGTAAAAGAAAACATCTTTTTAGAATTTTCCCCGTTTTTCAAAGCCAATAGCCTTGCATTTTGGTGAAAATCTTCCCTTTTGTTTTCATTTTTCTACTGCTCTTTACGCCAGGAAGAATAACTCCAACCATTCCTTATGGCTTGCTCCGTGGTCTAATGACCAATTTTTGATGATGTAAAAAATCTTCGTAGAATTTTCCCCGTTTTTCAAAGCCTATAGCCTTATTTTTTTGGTGAAAATCTTCCCTTTTGTTTTCATTTTTCTACTGCTCTTTACGCCAGGAAGAATAACTCCAACCATTCCTTATGGCTTGCTCCGTGGTCTAATGACCAATTTTTGATGATGTAAAAAATCTTCGTAGAATTTTCCCCGTTTTTCAAAGCCTATAGCCTTATTTTTTGGTGAAAATCTTCCCTTTTGTTTTCATTTTTCTACTGCTCTTTACGCCAGGAAGAATAATTCCAACCATTTCTTATGGCTCACTCAGTGGTTTATGGACCAACTTTGAATGATGTAAGAAGAATTCAGCTTTCTACTGCAAGACGATGTTCACTTTCTCGAAAGGTTTTCTTTACCAAAATAAGCAATTGTGAGGTTGCAAACAGCTCACATTTTCACGAGATTTGTAACGAAATTTTAGGTTACGAGTGAAAAGTTTCAATCATCCATTCTTCAATTTTTAGAGACCAACATGAAAAAGATCAATAAAAGTTTGGTTACATAGGAAATTCATCTAGTTTGGTTACATAGGAAATCCATTCTATACAGTATGTCCCCAAAAAACGCCATTTTTTGGTAGTTAGTCGAAAAACTAAATTCTCCTAACTACTCTGCTGTCCACAGTCCTAATTTTGTTTGTTATTATGAAAAGCTGGAGTCACTGAAATAAATGAAGGCTTCTGAAGACGAACATATGGATCATCAGGTTTGTTTTAATCTTTTTCAAATTTTATAGACTTGCTACTGCCGACTACACGTCTACCTTGACTGCAATACTTATGATTATATTTTCATTTAAGATACATTTCAAGTTAATTGTTAAAATTAAATATATATGACTTTTGAACACGTATTTACATAGCATCATTCATTAAATACGTAAGTTGTGTCGATGTAGTCTTTCAAACAAAATGAAAGAAAAAATTGAAATGATGATCAAGACGATGCTGCTTACAGAAGCATATTGTAAACAACTTCATCACTAACATCTCGAAAAAAAGCAACAAAACTTTAATAAAATTATTTGTACTTTCTGTAGATCTGTGACGCTCTTCATTAGATATCTGGGAACACACTACCAAGATTGGAAGCTCTTCACAAGGAGAAATCTTAAGTATAGCTGCTGGCGTTCCCTTCCCTAACTCTAAACTTTTGACTGATGACAATTTGTCTTAGCAGGCAAAACAAGAAGGCTAAAAGGTATAGGTTCAGTTGCAATAGATAGATCTTTCGGTGGCCAGCAATACCTCTAGAAACAGTAAAAAATATTCATATTACTCAAGTGGAAGGTTGCAGTTTTGACTGTATCACACAGATTCGTCCCTGGTCCCTTATCCCGACATGCTTTTGTTGTGATTTGAGAAAAATGTTGTCCAAAGTTGCCTTTAGAGAAAATGTTGTCCATAGTTATCATAAACGTCGCAAACTAACTGCGACTGAAAAATGCTTAGATTATCTAAACCTGGCAAGAAACAACCGGTAATACTCCTTAAGAGGGATTGTTATTGAAGGAAAGGTTTGGAAAAGTGTTTTATAGTTGACACGACACTAATGACATTAGATACATGGAATGCTAAAGCAATGGTTGTTAAGGGAAGCATACACCCCGTAACTACTCAAAAACTGGAATCTTTCAAAATGATTTACAACAAAGCTGATTTAAACTTACATAGTACCAATAAGCTGTTTTTTCGCTATTGCTTTCAAAGCTCACAGGTAAGTGTGCCGAATGTTGCATAATTCAAAAACAGAAAAACAGGTAAGATTGTATTGAAAAAGAGTAGTAAGAGTTAGCTCCGACAAGATATTACGTAAAACTTTTCAATGAAGCTGTTGCTTTAAATAGCATCTTTATATCTGTTTGCTGTATTTTTCTGATCATCCACGTGCATGAACTGTCATTCGACATTAATTGTTAAGAGTAACAAGCCATCTCGCAGACGATTCTTCAACAAGAAATAAAAAAGTCTTTTTAGTGTTCTATTATTGCAAGGATTCTGTCGTAATATCGAGTTCTGTATATTCTGCAAAAAGTCGGGTCAAGACGACACCATACCAAGATAGCGGCAAATCACTGGAGAGCCGACTTTTTTATATAGGATAGGGGCAAACCGATCAACAAGGTAAGCAAAGACATTTTTTAATTTGCAATATCTCAACGGTACTTCCACAAGGAAATGTAATTTTTCTCTCTCTTTTTGCACGAGGTTGGCAACAGCTGCAAAGTCTCTTGAAGTAGAGGCCATATGCTGAAAAGGTTGGTCTGCTCTGTGATTCACAATAACCTTCACACTTAACGATGGTGACAGCCTTCTTGCAATTAGGTATGCCTGGAGGGCTTATCACAACAGTGTATCTCTTCTTGTGACACTTCTTTGGTCGCATGCAAGAAAACTCAGGACTGAGTAAAAGCATTGCTAGCAAGAGAACAACAGCCAGCCTTAGCTCCTTTTGGAACAACATTCCACCCATATCTTCTAGCGCGTAATGAATTTCTCCTAAAATGATAAAATATATTTTAAAACAATAGTAAATAGGAAATAATTCAAAACATTTTGCGGAAAATTTCACGACAATTAAACAGTTTAGCATTTATGCAATTTTAGCATTGATAAACGTTTCTTCAAATCAATCGCAGGAATAACATTTGTATAAACCAACTATAGTTCTTGAATAAGACAAATTATTTTCCTAGTGAATAATACGGTTGATAGCGAGTTGAAATTAAAATAGAAAATCAATATGACCGTTGTTTTAGAATAAAAAACACCATTTGATAATTTTCAACATTCCAATTCGGATCCCAGAGAGGGCACTAAGCACATAGACATACGCGGGGGGGGGGGGTAAGTTCAAGAATCTTACAGGCCACCCAAAAATATCAGCTCATTTTCAAAAGGCCCAAAAATATCAGTTCTACTTATATCTCATACCCATGAATATCACAAATTGTAATTTCAGAAAAGATAGTATCACACACGTATCAGAATAGTATCTATTGTTTTTGCAGGACCCAAGAATATTATTTCTGATAAATATTTAACCCAAAAATATCACTTTGGGTAAGCATTTGACCCAAAAATATCGGACTGACCCACGTATGTCTATGTGCTGAGTGCCCCCCTCCCCCCTGGGAGATTCAGATGTTTATTGACCTGCTTGGGTCTTTGTTCACAAAAATAAAAATTCAGCGGATAACCGTTTTTATTGCAAAGCATAGAAGCTAAACCTCTCCTCGTCGAATAAAAATCAATCCTGACGAAAGAAGAAACTGTCTCCCCACTACATCCCTAACGGCTTGTCTACCTGGTCACTTAGCATTTGTCAATGAATTTTTGTACAAATAAGAACTATCAATAAAGTTATCTGGGCCGTCAAAAATGGGGGGCTGAAGCCCCCTCCCCAGTAATTGGCAAACAGTAGTATATTTCCTTTAATACAGTGCATTGAATGAGAAAAAATACAATGGGCAGCCCCCCAATACGAATTTCGTTCCGATGCCACTGAGTTACCAATAAAGCAGTTGCGAATCTAGCCTTAAAAATCTGGGGGGGGGGCTAGCCGGGGGCCAATGCTAGCTATTATTTTCCGAACTAGTAGAATGTAAAGCAGTATCGTAGTGGCTCAGAATTGGCAACACGGCGCCCCCTATTTTGGCGCCCCCTTAGAAAAGGATGGCCTTGATACAAATGTGTCCGGTGGCAAGAAAAGGTTTGGGACTGTATATTCTAGGGATGACCTGAAACTGCATTAGAATATCTACAATGTTCGTAGGTTCTAGCCCATGGAAGAGAAACAATGTTGCTGGGGGCCCCTAAAGGTTGGGGACCCTTTGTTCTTTAACATTGGTCCTTTACTCCAATGTTTTATCTGTTTAACAACAATATATGAACATTAGAATATAAACAGAAGAACTATACTTCCAAAGGTAAAAGGCTAAAAAGCTTTGTAAAGTTGATTGGTGGAAGTTGTGTCTTCTATCGAACCTCAATGAGATCAAGCAAATCATTCTGTCACATAGAGTTTCAGATCATAGAATTTCAATATTCAATTGTAGATTGCCAAGGTATATTTGGGTGGTATTGGTTTTTCCCTACGCTGGGTTCCAGGGCTAAAATGGTCTTCAATGGGATGCGGAGAAGCTTGCTTTGGACTTACCCTGCGCAACGTACCGGCAGGGCCCCTAGCTTGTTAACCAGATAAATGCCATAAAGAATCGCATTGATCAAAATAGAAAAGAGCAACCCTTAGAAGGTCAAAAAACGATTGACAGCTATGGATTAAAACATCAAATTTTAATGGTAGCTTAAAAACTTGGCCAAGAAGGGGGGCAGACAAGGGCAAAGAAAATTTCTGGGGGTTGGCCCCCCTGGCCCCCGTAGAAACGCCATTGTAGTTAGATGTGCACCATGGCATCACACGAATTTAACTTCATT